TAGGTATCGCGCCTCAGGCTGACGTGCAACTGGCTGCTGCTGATGTCCAGCAGCTGGTAGACCAGCTTCAGGCTCATGCCGCCATGCCATCAAATGAACCCAAAGCTTTCAATCATATGATAGATAACTACCAAATGAACCCTTCCGTAACTCGACTCTTACTCAGAGCAAGAGTCACATCGCAAGGTCAGGTCACTGCCGAGGCGAGAGCCGAATCAGAGGCACGCATTCATCCAATATTCTCGATTCTAACGTCAGAAAAGAAACTATGCGAACAGATATGGCGAAAAATAGATGTGCGGATAATTTCGTTACACCCTGTAGGAGTTCCTTTAGACCATGCCCGTATCCTGTAACCAGCTGCAGACAGTACTCGTTCGTTTCTATTCATGCCAATGAACTCATGACTTATGAGCGTCACTGCGCGATGGCGAATACAACATATGACTTTTGAAGCAGTGTATGATAGTCAACAGCGGTGTATTGAACTGACATTGAAACATAGCAGAGTACCTACTAGCTAAACCACTTTGACAAGGCAAACTCCAAAACTCACAAGGCAAACTCCAAAACTCAAAAGCATTCAATACCACCGATTACCAAATAGCATACAGCTTTCATGAGCAATGCACTGTGCACGAGCATACACATGTAGCCCTCCAATGCACCATTCACAAATGTAGGCATGTACAATAAACATGAGACGGTGAAGCTCAGTCTGCTAATGCTAACGTCCCAGAGCGCACACATCCCTGCCACCTGCATGAGCGATTTCTGCAGGCTACAGACGAGACACACAGAACGGAATATGTCTGAAAGAACAGGTACGTAACCGGCATCGATTTGCCCCCTAAGAAACGAGTAAGTCTTGATCAGACCAGTCATACGCCCGACATGGATATGATCCCTCGTGATAGCGAGCGACTGAGTGCGTTCGGCGGGAGAGAGCTGGGACTTCACTTTAAGGAACGCTGGTGTTATGACACGCACATCACGACAGGCTAACAGATCTTGGACATTGAACCCTGGTGCTGATATTGACAGCACCATCAGATAGCCCCGCAGTGGTGCAGCACACCCCCCTTCAGTGTCGCACTCCTCATAAGCAGCAACGTTAGGTGGAGGTGGAGCACTCTTCTCCATTTCCTCTGCCTGCTGAGCCCATTCTTGTACCTGTGAAAACAATAAAATTTGTATTAACTGCTTCATACATACTGTATACAGCCTGACAAGGCATAAGATAGACCATTATCAGAAACCTTATGCACATCTTTTATTACCACTGGTTGGTTCTGAGCAATTAACATCTGCCAAAAGATGAAAACACTTAAGATTGAACATACAATTTGCCCAGTTAAGTATACTTTTGTGACTTGTCTGTGAGTTGTGGGATAATAAAACTTTCAAAAAACAAACTGAGAAGTGATCCCCTTACACCTGCCATCCAAATCACAAAACAGAGAATCTCCTATCCTGTCTGGATCTGACAGTGTCTGCCCATTGCTCAAATGTCAATAACGATAAACAACAGTTATAGATAAATAGTGCCACAAGGCACAAACCTATTCATCTTATCTGCAGGTAAAGGACAGCATCTAAGCTCTGTAGTTGTTTGCACTGACCAAGCTGTCCAACAGCTGGCCATGTTCCTTTTCCTTGCGCATAGCCTGCCTACGAATTGCTGAAGCAGTTGAAGCTGGTGCTTTGCCCTGAGTAACAGATGGAATAACCCCCTTCTTTAGCTCCTTCTGCTGTTGTCTGGCCCTTGACAATGCACATCATTGTTTACAGCACTGTGAAGTGTTTTCTTGCCTTAACCCGCGCACCGACGGGGGGGGGCGGATATCCGCCCCCCCCTGAGGTTTTTCGCGGATAGCGGGAAAACCGCGGCGCGTAGCGCCGCGAAATTTGGTATGACTATTCTCTCATCAATTTTACACAGGGTGTGCAAGTTTGAACCTCCTAACTTTTAAGGTCAGGTCACCAGGTCACTTTGAATGACCCAACCTCAAGTCACTTTTTTGCAACTTTGTCACCGTGCCAGAGCTACAGTAGATGTCGGAGGCCTTTGAAAGTCGCAGGATGTTATTAGGTCATTAGTAGCTACAATTTGTATATCTCGGAATTTTGATGTCGGTGACCTAAGGTCAGGTCAATTTCGCGACCTCCCCATTATAAGTCAATGGGGGAAAAATCAACTCCCTGTTTTTACCACTAAAACGGGTCGGAATGGCCCCATATACCATACATGACTTCACATACGATCAACCTTCACTACCTTGAGGTCTGTTTTGCTGTTGGGCAGCTGTAAGGTCATGTGACGTCATCAAAGGTCACCAAAGGGTTTTTGCCAATAACTCCTTACAGGAACAAGATACAGCCGCGCGGATGGTCTCATTGTGTTCAGCTCGTCAAGACGCATCGAATGATATACATGATGATCTCGAGGTCACGTGACCTGAGGTCAACCTTTGACCTTGACCTTTCGAGGTCAACATATATATCATTCGATGCGGATTGACGAGAGGATCACGATGATGCCCTTAGTTTGTTCCTATCTTGACTACTTCGAAAGTTATTCGAGAAAAACCCTCTCCATATCTAGCGCCGCCATTTTGACTTTTTCGACCCCTGTGACGTCATCTTTGACCTGACCTGAAAATGACCTTAGTAAAAATTGTAGACCTTGTCCGTGCGTATCCGATGCCGTTTACCGCTTGTCGCTATCTTGCTTCGTTCTCGAGATCTCAGGGGGGGGGCGGTCATCCGCCCCCCCCCCCGTCGGTACTAAGGTGGCGCAGACCCCCGTCGGTGCGCGGGTTAACCCTCGCACGACCAGGCCATTTCTCATAACACGAACGACCAGGGGGGGGGGTGTTACGACCCCCCCCCCTGGCGTTTCGAAACGGAAGGTCGTAGAGCTTAGCGGAAAAAGCCAACGGATTGCTCTCAACGAGATCTCGCGATTGGTGGTATATTTTTTGGTCCTAGGTCAACATTTGACCTACTTATGACCGGTCAAAGGTTAAATTTTCCGAAAAAATCAAACTTTTTCAACTTTCCGCGGCGATTGCGGCAAAACGGTGGGAGATATCGACTTGAAACCTTCACTATCGTGTTCCTTGATCAATTCTCTATCGTTTGGTATGTATTTCGTTTCCCTAGCTCTAAAAATGGCGCGTTGGGAGCGCCGGAAGTCGGCAAGGTCACAGTCGGCTGCAGAAATTCGAAAAATCAAAATTTAAATTTTTGAAATCTGATTGTATTTTTGGATTTGGGAGGTCCATTTGCTCCCTATAGAAGCTAATATTGCTGTATATTCCCATTGAGGTGACAAGAATTAGCAAAATAGTGGTTCGGGCGCTTTTCAAAAATAGTACCGGACGCTGTTCCTCTTGTGACGTCATAGCTCCGTGACCTGACCTGACCCGGTCAATTTTCTTGCACCACACGATAGCCAATGCTTGCCCCAACATGCATGGGAAGTTTCATCATGATCCATCAAACAATGTGGGTATCACCGGCAGAAAACCTAGGGATTCGGCGCACACGTTTGGTAACTGTCGGCCGGAAGCTGTACCTCCTATGACGTCATAACTCCGTGACCTGACATGACCCGATCAATTTTTTCGGCAAAAGATGCGCAAAGGTTGCCCCAGAGGGTATTGAAAATTTCAGCCCGATACGACAAGCCGTTTAGCGTGCACTTCGAAAAAACCTCAGGGGGGGGGGTTGATACAACCCCCCCCCCCTAGGCGTTCTAGGGTTAAACTTTGATGGATCATGAAGTATACGAACCCACCTATGATGTTGATGTGAGATGTCTACGAAGCATGCAATAGCTTGTACAAATAAAGGTAGTTGTATAATTCTAAGATTAAATGATTGTTGACCTCTGTAGTATTCAGGACATGAATATTAAATGAAAAGCAGACCCATTTTTCTTTTGATACTTATGGTGGTAGCCGGTAGGTGACTTCCCAGTTCCCCTGGTGGCGAATGATAGGGTATATCTTAGATACAAAGCTGCGCATGACCATAAAAACTTACCGTAGGCAGTATATTCCAAAAAATCATCGTCGGTGAAATGCTTCCGACACACAACCAAGAGTTTGGTGGGATGAAATCCGTTGCAGCCTGAGCCAAGCCTGAGCCATATCTTCCTCGGCCTCTTGTCGCGAGAAAATACAAACCCACCATTCTCCGAGCAGCCATAGACACAACACTGGGCCATTTTCTTCCAAATTTAGGTATTATGCCACATGTGACTCACTACTTCCTCAATATTTCACCCACTTTCACCGCACGACACGGCTCCGAACGGCACCGGCGCAAATTGAATCAGCAGGAACGCCTACAGTGACACCTGGCGGCCAAAGTTCCGTGTTATCTCCCATTGTAACCTTTATGCAGTAGATTAGCGTGCGTAAGGCATAGCATATATGACGCTCAAATGCGCCATTTTCACATCAACACGGAATCCATAGATATAAAAGACTAGGGGCCTGTTCCAGCGCCTCCAGTAGAAATTCTTGACTGGAGGCTCTACCAGAGGTTTCACTGGAGGCGCTGGAACGCAATCTGGAGATTTCTGGAGATTGGCATCACAGATACCAAAAGAATGACGATTGTTCTCTCTTGAAACGCAAAATTTGCTTTCAATTTTATAAAGAAAGATAAACAATATTATAGCAATGTAATTTTCTTTACTTTCAAGTTGTAAAATAATCAGTCTAAAGTCCTTTGTTTACATTCGTGATTATCACATGTGCGCCATAATTGTAGACCAGAGCCTCCAGAGAAATTTGGACCTCCCAACTCTCTGGAGGCTACTGGAGGTTTCTGGAGCTTCGGCGAGAGCTTTCTGGAGCTTTCTGGAGGCGCTGGAACGCTCTCTGGAGGATTCTAGAGCTTTCTGGAGCTTTCTGGAGGCGCTGGAACAGGCCCTAGATGGGACATTGGCAGTGTTTTAGTGCGTGCGACTGACCGCCATGTTTGTGAGGGCGGGAATCTGCGGCGCTGTGTAAACACTACGGGAGGAGGGGGGTATTTGAGACTGATTTTGTGGTATTTTTCGACCGAAAAGTGCTAATCTTTTTTGCTCACGGCATTCTTTGGAATGTGTAGATTGTGGAACAAGTGCTGAAATATGCTTATCTATTGTAATTTGGCTATGTTAGCCTTAGACATGTTGCACTGTTGACGCTGATGAAGAATAGGCGGCACCAAAGGTAGATTTGCTTGGCATGCCTGTTTTAGATTTAATTCAGTTCCCATGTTTTTTTTTGTGCACACCACAATCCTTTAATTATTCTTGCATGGATAGAGCATCAGTCATATGATTTTTCACAAAGAAAGCTTACCTAGATAGGTACCAGAACATTGGCAGTAGAAAGCAGACTCATTACCTACACTTGCTTTGCCTGCTCACTTTCTACTGTTGCCTTCAATGGACAATATTTATGAAGTAAGAAGGTTTTATGATTATAGGTTTTAAATAAGTACTTTACTTAATGTCATCAGTTAGTATTAAATAGTAGTTCAGTGCCAAACGAAAAATCCATGCACTATGCCAGATGCCTCGGGGGCTCTTATCCGCTCTGGGTTCAGAGTGCAGTGGCATGCCACGCTCACCCTCAACCAGAGCTGATAGATAGTGAAAATGCCAGACGTCGTGATATCTGCACCAGTGAACCGTGTCGCACATTTGATCCCAATAATGAACAGCACAGGGGTGACGTAAAAATGTGCGTTAGTTGGAGCACCTAAACTCAGATTGTCATTACCTAATTAGTTTTCACATTGTAAAGCTTAAACTACACTTCATGCTCTTTTGGCTCACCTGTTATCTCTAGTAAATTATCTATTTAATTATCTAGTAAATTATCCATCTAAATAAATTATCTATTTAATTTAATTATCTAGTAAATTATCTAGTAAATTATCTCTAGTTAAATTATCTATTTATCTATCAGTAAATAGGGTATTAGTAAATCTGGCGTTACCATCAATGCTAAGTGCTAACAAGTAAATATGAAGTCCAAGGAAGATAAAAATCATAATCTTACTTGACCTAACCTTACCTACTAACCTAACTAACCTACAACCTACAAACCTCAACCTACATACAACCTCCATACCTACAACCTACCCACCTACAACCTACCAACCTTATATGTGCCGACGGTGGTACCAGATTTATGGATACCCTTATTTGTTAGGTACTTCACTCCACTTCTCATTTTATTTGAAGCTCATTTAAATTCTTGTATTTAAGTCTGTGTAAACTATTATTTTAAAAACCTGATGCTTTTCCATGACTGTAATCTCACTGTTTGCTATGTGTATTTTGTAGTGTGTACTGTGTGCAAATCCAGTATCCTACACTTGTATGCTACAGGCCTTGTTTTGATCTGACTAACTGTTAATATGTTTCAGCTTTAAAGACTAGTATCTTTTGAAATTGAAATTTGCCTCTCAGTCTCTCAAGATGCCAAATAGATGTGCAGGATTTGATTGCTGACAAACCAGGGATGAGGCTCAAGAGTCAAGAGATCACCCTGCATTGGCAAGTAAAAGCTACAGACTTTTGATTTTTTATATTGTTACAGGTTATCTGTCACCGAGAGCGATTGCTGTAGTTCAATTTATTGCATCAAAATTGGCAGAATATGACTTCACTGATCACTCTGACGTCATTTCCGGCCGACCTCTGGTAGCTACACAATTTTTATTTCTATAAAATGTTTCAGATTGATGCAGCCGAAGGTACTGCAAGTTTCGTATTGACACGTCTAGTGGTTTAGAAATATTGCAATAAATATATATTTTAATTTTTTCAATATATAAATGTAAATATTTTATTGCAGAAAACAGGAGAGGGGCTCTGTAGAGCCCCACCCTCCAGTCATGCGTGGGTAAAGGCCCATCAGTCACTAAAACCAGAATAAGTGCAAAAAATTATTACCAAATGCCCGGAGACTGCTTTACCATTGCCAACATGTGTGTGTGTGTGTGTGTGTGTGTGTGTGTGTGTGTGTGTGTGTGTGTGTGTGTGTGTGTGTGTGTGTGTGTGTGTGTGTGCGTGTGCGTGTGCGTGTGCGTGTGCGTGTGCGTGTGCGTGTGCGTGTGCGTGTGCGTGTGCGTGTGCGTGTGCGTGTGCGTGTGCGTGTGCGTGTGCGTGTGCGTGTGCGTGTGCGTGTGCGTGTGCGTGTGCGTGTGCGTGTGCGTGTGCGTGTGCGTGTGCGTGTGCGTGTGCGTGTGCGTGTGCGTGTGCGTGTGTGTCAACAATGTGTTAACAACAAATACAACACTTGTGCCTGGCGTATGTTAACACTAAACACTACTTATTAGCCATATTTTATTGATACTAATCGAACCTTCCAGGTGGCTGGAACAACCCCAGTGCCGCACAGTTCTGCGGGATATTCCGGCACCTGCTCCACCGCTGCGGCGTCCGGCCCGGCAGCACAGGGAAAGTGGCAGCCCTCGACCCGACCAGCATCCTGGCAGTCGGTCACACGACCAGCGGACGGGGAGCCAGCCTTACTACCTCGGCCTCCACCACCTCAGACAACGGTGCCACGGCACTCCACATCATCACGGAGCACGACTTCCAGCCTGGGCTGTCGTCTGGTGGGCAACATCGCCACCTACATCGCAGGGTTCGTGGTGAAGAAGGCGCTCGACTCTGTCAGCTGTAGCACCTGTCAGGAGGCCCTGGTGAGCGACATCCAGCCGGACGACATGACACAGCTTTACCACCTCTTCATCATCTCTGCCAGATGAGCTAAGGTGGGGACGGGTTACATGCCTGGGATCTGACTGAGACCCGCTCATACCCTGCCGAAGTGTTGGTGATTTCAGCGGTCAGCTGTCTCTAGCCAGTGTCAGTGAGTCGCGGCCAGCTGCCGCTGGAGTGGGTATCTACCGTCGATAGCTGCTGTGTGGCGGATAGCGTGGATTTGGATGGACACTTCATATTAACCCTCGCCCATGTAGGGGGGGGGTTGGTGCAACCCCCCCCCTGAGGTTTTTCGGAAATAGTGCAAAAACGGCGGCGCGCAGCGCCGCCAAATTTTGGGTACCTTATGGGGCAAGCCTTGCGCATCTTTTGATAAAAAAAAATTTGACCGGGTCATGTCAGGTCACGGAGTTATGACGTCACAAAGGGAACAGCCTCCGGCCGGATTTTCACAAACTGAGTGCCAACGCCCGAGGTTTCCTGCCGGTGGTACGGAGATCGGTTGATGGATCGTGATGAAACTTCCCATGCATGTTGGGGCAAGTATTGGCTATCATATGGTATAAGAAACTTGACCGGGTCAGGTCAGGTCACGGAGCTATGACGTCACAAGAGGAACAGCGTCCGATACTATTTTTGAAAAGCGCCCGAACCACTATTTTGCTAATTCTTGTCACCTCAATGGGAATATGCAGCAATATTAGCTTCCATAGGGAGCAAATGGACCTCCCAAATCAAAAAATACAATCAGATTTCAAAAATTTAAATTTTGATTTTTCGAATTTCTGCCGCCGACTGTGACCTTGCCGACTTCCGGCGCTCCCAACGCGCCATTTTTAGAGCTGAGGAAACGAAATACATACCAAACGATAGAGAATTGATCAAGGAACACGATAGTGAAGGTTTCAAGTCGATATCTTCCACCGTTTGGCCGCAATCGCCGCCGAAAGTTGAAAAAAGTCTATTTTTCCGAAAATTTGACCTTTGACCGGTCAAAAGTAGGTCAAATGTTGACCTAGGACCAAAAAATATACCACCAATCGCGAGATCTCGGCGAGAGCAATCCGTTGGTCTTTTCCGCTAAGCTCTACGACGCTCCGTTTTCAAACGCCAAGGGGGGGGTCGCACCAACCCCCCCCCCTGCATGGGCGAAGGTGGCAGATCGCCGTTTACGGGCGAGGGTTAATGAACAGATCAATGTCTGGCCGATAAAAGACGTATTTTGTCGATGATTGCTTAGTGACTGGGTGGGTCCACTGGCGACCAATGCAGTGGGCGCTGGGTTAACGCCTCGCCTTTTGTGGCCGTGTCGATATATATGTAGCACTGTTAATTGCCGATTCGTTGCCGGCCGTCTCTGCTCCGTGGCTGGCTGATCCGGCACAAACTGGTGTTCGTGGCTGAAGGCGCGGCTACAGTTACACTAGCTCGCCACGTGCCTGTGCGACTATCGTCGGTGCTGTCTGCAAGGGCGATGTCGGTGCCTGGTAGGGGGCGCGGATTGATTCAAAGTGAGGAATGGGTCATCGGAGCTCGGGTCAGGTCATGTTCGGCTAAAATAAGCGGATTTTGCGATTTGCCGCATCCGGGTGAATTTCCTTGCCTTCTAGTGCATGTTTATGCATTTTACATGCGTTTTTTTAGTGTTGATGTCTAGATAATGTGCATTTGCCTCGAGGTCAAGGCTGCGCTTCATATGGGCAGTTTTCGGAGCATCTTGCCCATTTTATTCGTAATCCTTAATTATGTTTGCGGATTTGTGCCCGCAAATCATTTTTTAAAGTAAGATTGACACGGGATTCGAGATCGGCGCCCATAAATACACTTCACATGACCCGCCATGTGTCAAGGCCATCCGAGGTCATCTAAGGTCGCTGACCTTGTATGACCTTATGTGACCCGGTTCGCTAGATTTCGAGATGAGGTTGATTGGGAATGATGTAACCCATTTCGCCGACAGTTCACGCGTTTTGGTCGATTTTATAGCGAAAGATCTCAAACTCCAGTGACTTTACTGGTTCGATTTCCAGTGTTTGACCTGACCTCTAAGTTCACCTGTTGACCTAGTACCCTGAAATTTGGTATCACTGGTTTACTCACATCGCGGACAGCATACCTATTTTTTTCCGTTCTTGCTCCGTCGAGGGGCGAACGGCTGGAGTTCACTCCGTTCACCCTGGCTTCCCCTACTCGTAAGACGCTGACAAACTACGAACGGGTGAGGGCTAAAATTGCACTTATTGTCGATCATTGTCCATTGCATACTGCATACATAGATATAAAGTATGGTAGCCATAATGGGAAACGAATTTAATCTTAAATTAGCATGCCAATTGCATCTACCTTCGGTGCCGCATATCCTTTATCAGCGTCTTCAGGGCTATATGTCTAGGGCTGATGTAATTACAGTACAATAAATACACATGTTTCTGCCCTTGTTTCACAATCTACTCATTCCAAAGAATGCCATAGGTAAAAAAGATTAACACTTTTCGGTCGAAAAAATACCACAAAATCTGTCCCAAACACCCCCCTCCTCCCATAGTGTTCACACAGCGCCGCAGATTCTCGCCCTCACCAACATGGCGGCCGCTGCTACGTATTCGCGAGTCGCTCCCGACATGGGGGTGCCCTTGGGGGTGCCCTATCTAGTCTTTATATCTATGACGGAATCATTGGCCTTGGAGAAGGTCATTGGTATTGACTTTGTTTTTTGCCAGCTGCTGCCGTATGATGGCGCTAGTAGAGCGCTATATGTATAATACGCTCTGCTAGCGCCACCATGCGGCGCCAGTTGGCTAAAAATCTGATCAATACTACGGTTTCTGGAGAATGCCTTGGATTCATTTTTAGCTTTATGGATTTATGCAAGGGCATGTTGGTTTTATGAGTTGTCTTCTGGCCGTAATAGAAATAATTTCAAAGCTGTTTGAGTTATGAAATGCATTTGAATATCAAACATGAACTCTGATTTCCGGTGGGCATAGTGACTTTGGTATGTCAATGTCTTTGAAAAGTCAGGTGAGAATGCCACTGGTCAGCCTTGCTTCAATTGGATTTGTGTCCATTCATAAATGGATTTCAGTCATACCTACTTACCTACATATGTTGTTGGTATTTGATTTCTACAGCTCAAAATATTGCTATGTGTTGTACAGCAAACTGAATGGAAGTGATCCGTACAAACATTTGGTGAAATGTTTTCTGGATTGCTAGCACTTAGAACTTGTTTATTCTGTTGTAGGTGACAAGATAAGAAATTGAAGCAAGACTGACCAGTATGCTATAGAATAGGTAGCCCAATCTGCAGGAATATTAAAATTCAAAAGTGGAATTGGGACTTATGAACTGGAAACTGCATCAACTATGTTTGCCAAAGCATAAAAGCTATTAACATTTAGGACCATAAAGTACAGGGGAATGATAGGACACGGTTGGACCCGGCCAAATATTTTGGGGGACCAGGTCTGGACCCATCCGGGTCCAGACCGGTTCCATAGACCGGGTCCCCGGGTCCACATTTTGCCACCTCTAATATATAACCACCTTGTATTTCAGTTGGAACGGTAGTATTTCAGTTAGAACGGTAGTTAATATATATTAAGCCACGAGTAGGTGGAGCAAATTTTTTAAACGTCCAGTCGATAGGCGAGACGTTTAAAATATTTGTCTACCTACGAGTGGTTTAATTATTTTATCCCGTACCGCCGGCATCTTTTGGTCACTTAAGTTAAAAAATACATTTTATGTAAAAATACGGCATATTTCAGACTAGACAAACGTCTAGACGTTTAGTTGTATATATGTATTGTTATTCAGCTGGGACATAATTAATGTGCAAAAAAGTTGTTCTGACACCAGCTTTGTAGTTTTATTGGGAGCTATCTAGAGCGTCTAGACGTTTAAAGCTATTAACAGCTATTAATCAGGTAAACGACATCTGACAAATTTCTCTCTTTGCACGTGAAGCAATTGTAAACATTGTCTACGGTGCGGAATAGTGACAAAAAAAAACTCCAATCTCTATGTAAGGTCGTTTATGACGTTGCACATGGTTCACAACGCAAAAGTTGAGCATCGATCTTGCAAGGAGTGAAGCTACACGAGCACATGTTGATCAAGACAGCCCATATTCAGCCCAGATTCAGCCCGGATTCAGCCCAGATTCGGGACACCTCTGATCAAGCTGAAACTCGCACACAATGTAGGCCATGACATGCCCAATCCACAGTCCAATTCATTCGGTGGCACTCCCAGCCGTTTGACCTACAGAGGTCAGCAAAGGTCACGTGGCCAAAATTTGCACAGCAGATTGTGGCCCACCCAGTAGAGCTAGAGCGCTAAAAATGGCACCAATCGACTCGCCAGCATCTAATCTTACTTTCCCAACACTCATTTGACCTCTCAAGGTCATGCGATGACCTAAGGTCATTTGTGGACTATGTCGAAAATACACTTGCACAGCAGTTTTCGAGTAGATGGATTGACCGAATTCCAAATCAAAGCACATCATCGGGTAGCCCATAGGCCGTAGTAACTTTCCTTAAAAACCACTTTTCGATATGTGACCCCGTTTGACCTCGGCAGGTCAAAATGCGCAAATAAACGACACTCAATACGTCGCAGCCCGGATTCAGCCCAGATTCGGGACACCTCCGATCAAGCTGAAACTCGCACACCATAAAGGCCATGACATGCCCAATCCACAGTCCAAGTCATTCGGTGGCACTCCCAGCCATTTGACCTACAGAGGTCAGCAAAGGTCACGTGGCCCAAATTTGCACAGCAGATTGTGGCCCACCCAGTAGAGCTAGAGCGCTAAAAATGGCACCAATCGACTCGCCAGCATCTAATCTTACTTTCCCAACACTCATTTGACCTCTCAAGGTCATGCGATGACCTAAGGTCATTTGTGGGCTATGTCAAAAATACACTTGCACAGCAGTTTTCGAGTAGATGGATTGACCGAATTATAAATTAAAGCACATCATCGGGTAGCCCATAGGCCGTAGTAACTTTCCTTAAAAACCGCTTTTCGATATGTGACCCCGTTTGACCTCGGCAGGTAAAAATGTGCAAATAAACGACACTCAATACGTCGCAGCCCGGATTCAGCCCAGATTAAGGACACCTCCGATCAAGCTGAAACTCGCACACAATGTAGGCCATGACATGACCAATCCACAGTCCAAGTCATTCGGTGGCACTCCCAGCCGTTGGACC